CAGTCCCGTCAACTCAACAATCTCAAGCACACGGAGCGACGCTTACGGCAGAAAGACGCATCGTGCTCGATCATGTTGTGCACGCTGACGTCGGAGAGGTCGAATGAGTCGTGTGCGAGGTCGCGGTCGAGCAGCTGTGCGGCGCCGCGCGGGAGGAAGTGGGAGAAGGGCGCGGAGACATTGTACGTGTTCTTGATCGCCGCGTGGAGGTCCGCGAACTTGATGTTCTTCCCGTTGCGGGGAAGGATGCCTGTCATTGCATGAGGACCGACATCGTGCCATGTCACACGAGGGGTGGCAGCGTACCGTGATTGGCCATGGCGTTGAGCCCGGGGCAGGGCGACCGGCTGTCTCCTGGGGCGGGAGGGGCATACTTGGGCCAGAGGCCGCCATGGCCGGGGTTCCCCTCGGGGATGACCTGCCCGGCCTTATACTCGGGCGTAAGCAAATTAAACAAGACCAGGAGGATGTCCCAGAGGTACAGCTCGACGGTGACCAGTCCACTGGACACCGAGGAGTAGACGATCACGAAGAGGCGTCGCAACGCGATGAAGAGGTATGGTTGGCCCATGTTTGGGGGTGATGTGGGAGTACACGCCACCACCGGGTCTGTCTTATAAGCGTTTGTTATGCGGCCAAAGAGAGGCGCTCTCCTACTCTTCTGCATTCACCGCCGTGGAGGTGGGAGTTACCGGTCGGCAAGATGTTGCATCTGCTTCCCTGCATTCCTCACGAGACGTCGGATGACATCGGATGTGTAGATGCGTGGGCTACTGTGGGGGTCGATGAAACGAGTTTTGATCTCGAAATGCAAGCCCGCAAACCGGATGCGGTGGACATCCGGGCGGCAGGGATACGGTCGGTACGGACCTGCAATGTAGATATAACGCTCGGAATCACTATTGCCTGAACAGCACATAATGAGGAGAGAGGACTCAACGATACTCAGAGTTTCGGCCAAGAGATATGGAAGGTGTCAGGAATCAATCTCGTCGCCCGAAGTATGTCGGATGACCGCTGCATGAGCGCTGCGTAGGTTTCGTGGCACGAACGTAAATGTCTTGGCTTCAGGCACTTCACGGAGACTTTCATGGGCGTTGACAGTCGGAGACACACGGTTGCGTCAAGTCTTGATTGCAGCGCTGAGCATGATAGTGTGACTGACTTGAGGCTCAAACTGCAAAGAGCTGCCAACACTTACTACTTACACAGATCGAGATCGGATATCTAGCGCCCGGTGATTCCGCCGGACAGGATGTTTTGCTGCATTTCCCCGGTTCTCCTCCTGCGTCTCAGTCTACTTCCTGTGCGCGTCCTGCAATGTCGACCATCGCTCTGAAGATCGAGTTCGGCGGCGGCCTCGAGCTCCTGTTTTCGAATCAGCGCTCACATCGCATCACCATACCCGCGAACGTACCAATGTCCTCCGCCACAGGACAGACTCCGGAGGGCGCAGACGTGCCGACCAAGCCGGCGGACATTGCATACTTGCTTTTCTGGCTGAGGGATAACCTATTGAAAGAGAGGGCGGAGCTGTTCGTGGAGAACGGAACGGTGTGAGTGCTTCCGTTCCAGATGTCCAGGGAGAAGACATGTGTGATGGTGGCATGCATCCGCAGACGGCCGGGCGTTCTAGTGCTTGTGAATGACACAGACTGGGAGCTTGAGGGGGAGGGCGAGTACCAGCTGAAGAACGGAGACGAAATCGTGTTCATATCGACGCTGCACGGCGGGTAGTCGTCCTACTCAGAAAGTCATCTCGGACGACACGAGGCCTCCCTCACTACGTATGTCGCATGCTCTCGCCGCTATGGAGGTCACTCACACGGCATTGAATGGAAAGGATGAAGCGCACGCCGCACAATACCAGCAATACGCCGCGATTCCAGATGTACAAGGAATCGGAATCTCCGTGCTGTAATGTACAACGAGACAAGGCCGGCGAGGGATCGAAGCCATGAGTGGGATGGTACTATATGAGTCGTGTAGGGCTACATACCGAGGGTGGGGGACGATGATTATGCTCACGAGCTGCCTTTTCCCCACCACCAACTCCCGCCCGTGCTCTTGGGTGCCGCCTCCGTCGCCGCGGACCTCTCGAGGTTCTCCTGTCGATCCGCCTCCTCTGCTGCGCGCAGACGCGCCTGGAACGCAGCACGCTCCAATACCCGTTCTTGATCAACGGCGGCGGCGGCCTCTTTCTGGTGCTTCATCTGGCCGTACCACCACGAACCGCCGACGACGGCAACCACGGTGAGGCCCTGCATGATGACGCGGACGCGGAGCCAGTGGTTAAGCGAGACGCTGTCGCGTCGTCGGAGCTTCGTCGCTGCGATAACTAGCGACACGGTTGTGAGACCGGCGACTGGGGCGTCCAAGCATGTCATAGTTTAAGTGTCAGCTTCGCAGGACAAGCCAGTGAAGGATGCACGCACGGACTGGGACGAATGGGTTCTCCTTGAACTTGCGCTCGAACTTGCCTCCCCACGTCTCTATCGGGTTCCCGTTCGCATCCAGAAGCACTTGGTGCTCGCCGACAGGCTCGGTGCTCATGATGGAGTTATGTTCGAAGGCTGCGAGCCGCGGTGAGGATGTCGATGTTCCCCGAATCTGAGCTCTTCCGGACGTGAAGAACGGAGCCGGCGACGTAGACGACGAGGAACGATAAGCACTCGTCGAGCTGCACAGCGAGCAGGATGGAATTCGGAATGAAGGAGCGGGAAGAGGTCTCGTTTCAAGCCGCGCGAGGCTGCTCGCACACGCTGAATCTCAGATTGGCGCGGAACGGCGAGGTCGATGACGACCTCGAGCTCAGGATCCGCGTCGTCGAGCTTGCCATCGTCCACCACCACGCGTTCATCGTCCGACCTATGGAGCTCATCGCGCTCCCCGTTGAGCTGCTGGTGTCCATCATCGTCAACCTCGACGCACGGGACATCCTTCGATGCCGCGAGGTGACTAACCTGTGCTCTGCATCCGCGCTCGCCGCTGATTGCTCCCGCGTTCATAGGTCTGCACCTTCTTCAGAATCCTCATCGACGAGAATGTCCACGCGCAGTACAAGATCGAGCTCGCCCTGGCAGGGATGGAGGACGGCCCGCCCAGCTCGCTCACGCCTTCGGACCGCCTCGCGATGCTGCGCGAGCGACAAGAGGCGTGGAAGACGCTGACATGGAAAGCGAGAACGGAGTTCGACATGCGCCGTGGGGGCGTCTGGGAGCTCTATGGGGGCGTCCTCGCGCAAGCGGATGGCGACTCGACCCTCGTGTGCGCACAGCTGCCGTCGGTCATCCGGGGCATCGAGGAGAGGGTGTGGACGATCGAGGATGTGGGTGTGAAGATACGCGACTTTGGGATGGACCCCGCGCAGGATCTCTTGGTCATTATCGAACATCATACAGAAGGGTGAGTGGTGTTCTAAGTTTTGCACACAAACCACTGCTTGTCTCATATGTGCTCAACGACCGTGTGTATGTATGTATATTCCTCGTTCAACCCGTGGAATTCATATACATACATACGGTTGTGTCGGCTCTCCCTCTTCGGGTCAGGGTTGCTATCACTTGTCTCATGTGACTTCCTCGCGGTTTGAGACTGATTCTGCATAATCAGATCTGAAATGTTCTCTCGCGTGCACTTGAGATCGCTAGCCACCGGCAGAATACACCCGGACGCCCCAAAGACAGGCATGCTCGTACATAAATTGCGCCCTGAGAGGTATTCCTACGCCATCCAGACGTCCGAGGACTTCCTTGGTCTTCTCATCCAGGGCACCGAAGAGACCACATGCGAGCTGCTAATATGGAACTGGAAGAGTGGCGCCCTCCGAATAGTAAGTCGTTAAGCTCTCATGCCTGCGCAGTGTGTCTGACGACCATTCTTTCTCGAGCACCTATCCGGCGAATTCTTGCCATCATTCTCCTTCCTGACTTCCCGACACATCCTCCTCACGACTTTCCCTGGGGAAGAACCGGACGAGCTTGGCAACTTTCCGCATACCGTTACGCCCTGCATCCTGGTGCTGGACCTCGATGCAGCACCTGATGCTCCGGCAAAGCTCTCAGAGCTCGACTACCTCTGCACATTCCACTATCCGATGCTGAGCAACAACTTCACCACCATCGCCATGTCGCTACGCTCCGATCCCGGCCCCCATTGGCGACCGAGCCCGTCTCTGAAGGTGCCATTCCACATCTCGCGGTTAGACAGGCTCTTTGTCAATACCATATGGCTGACGGACGGGCACGCGCACGTCGCCCTGCTCTCCCTCATACCCGCATCCACGTTCCTCTCCGCCCTGTCCTCGCTCGCCCCCGGGGAAACCCGCCGCGACTTCGAGTGGTCCGAGTGGGGTCCGCGGGGATCGCGCTTCCTCGTCGCGCCGTCAAGGCACACGCCCATCTGGGTGTGCTACGTGTACGGGATGACGTTCGCCATGGTGCTTCGCGCGGGCTCGCAGCAGGTCATCATGACGCTCGACTTCAACCAGCTCGACATCCAGCGCACGCTCCGCCGGGAGGATCCCGAGACTGGGAGCGAGAGCGCGACGGAGAACGCGCGGCTCGTGACGGAGACGACGGAGTTCCGGAGGGCGGGGGTGTTCAGGGAGCCCGTGCAGACGTCGCTCCCGTACTGGCTGAGGAAGACGAGGCAGTTGGGAGGAGAGGGATCTGAGGGGGAGGGACACTTCGATGCGGTCATGATCTCGGAGGACTCGTTGATTATGGTATCGAGTGTGAGTCCCTGCATGCCTTCCGCGATCTCCGTCGGTGCTGATGTTAACCGTACCGTTCTAGCAATCTCATATCAGGAAGTACCGCGTACTGACATTCTAGTAGATCTGCACTGGAGGACCAGGCAGTGGTCAATGCATGCTTGTAGCTCTAGATCAAACGTGTACTATGTGTTTACTACTATCTCTCCAAGACTTCGTTGCTTACCTCCCCCATGTTGTCGGAAGAGGAAACGTATATAACGGTAAAAAATGTTGTGTTGACATAGCCCGCCTAGCTCAATCGGATAGAGCGTCAGACTCTTACAGGCGGGTATCTGAAGGCTGCGAGTTCGACCCTCGCGGTGGGCTAGTAACTTTTGCTCGTTGGGGTTTTGCTGTTGCACGTTCGTTTGTCTGCCCTACAGGCTACAGGCAGAGGTGGGAAGGATGGTGGTACAACCATTCGTTATGAGTTCATTGTTTGTAGCCTCCACTTCCTCACAACTTCAATGACCTCGTACTAATGATGACCATGTCTAAGTATTCCCATGGCACTAGACTATGAGCGATGAGACCGCACAACTTGTTCCCTACGAACTACCTCGCAATGCGTCTTACAGAGTCATTGTCGCATGCAGGACGAAAGCGCCGAGCGACCTCTTCCGCTCCACAGAAGTTGCCATGCACAGCCTGAGCGAACGGCCTCAAAACGTCAGGACTCGATAGAACGGACCCGAGCCCACCCCCTCCTGCCAAAGAGCACTTCAGCATCGACTCCACCTGGGCCGCAAGTGAGGCACTCACGCTGGACACGAGGATTGTTACTAAGTCCTCCCCGAGTAGCAGCGCGTCCAACATAACTTGCTCCGCTTCATCCTTGCCGGATACTTCCACCGCTCTTCGAAAGTAAGGGCAGTGTGTAGTGACGGCATCTATGAAAACTCTGCTTTCGTAGCCCGTCAACGTCGTTTGTGTCGTCATCGCAGCGCTCTCATCACCGGACTCGCATGACCCAATCATGTCGTGAGGGTTCAGGGTTGCTCGCCGGAGAGCGAGAGGATTGAAGTCATAGACCTCGATGGTGAAGGGGAAGAGACGGGAGTTGATGGGGGACTGGAAGTGACTGGCATATGACGTCCCGTACGCACAATAAGGCATGTCGAGTGGGAGCTCGTGCGGCCCGGCTTCGAGTCGGGACCCATAGATACCCCATTCCTCCCATGCAAAGACCCGGCCGGTCAGCCCGGGCTGCAGGGATTTGATGGCAAACAGGAGCGTCTCGGAGGGGATAAGTGAGGTCAAGGACTTAGGTCGGGATAAGTGAACGCGCAGAGATATTCGAGATCGACGACCTCCACTTTCTCCGGACGGGCTGTTGACAGATCAAGCACGAGTAGACAAGGATTGAGACTGGCAGTAGTGCGGATGGTCCCGCGGTCGTCCACTGCGATTTGGCAGAAAGCAAGAAGCAAGGCGTAGCTCGATGTTAGGAATGCGAAGGAGAACGTATCGCTACCAGTTACTTGCTAAGTTCACTGTGAGTTCGGTGTTTCTGTGTGCAGAGTACTTGTTGAACTCTTACCAGAAGGACGGAGTAGTCTTCCAGTTCCAGAGGATGACTTCGGAGTGCACGATGAAAAGGTCGGTAGTAATGATCGCGAGGCGATCATTCGATATTTGTATCGAGTGCGCGTGGTGGGGTGAATGGCTGTACAGGAGCACACCACCAGGAGGCGACATAGGGTGCACCATGCCAGTTGTCATTGACCTCAGATGCACCCGACAATGTGGGCTGGTGAGAACACGCAGGACTTTAGCAGTCGCGCGAGACCCGGGAGTATATATTTGCGTACCTGATGTCCTGCACGATCACCAGAAGATCCTGTGCAGGGTCGATCCCGAAGTCAGATATCCTCACTCCCACATCATCGAGAGTCCATTTCTTCCGTTCTATCCCCCGAATCCTCGATGGAAGCTGCCAAAGATGTATGCTCCTGTGGTTTTCTGCTTGAGCAAAAACGCCACCGTAGAACTTCCCAGATTTGCTATTGCCGGTCGCGGGTATGTCTTCCTCAAATTTCCAGGCGAGCCTTCTCCATGCATCCGTCTTTTCTTCCAACGCCGCGAGGCGTTCAGACACTGTCAGCGTGCTGTGGAACCCGTCCTTCATTCCCGCGACAGCCAGCTCGATCTTGTAACGCATGCGAACGTCTTCATCTACGAAGAGCTTGAGGCTGTTGCAAACCTGCAGTGCATGCAAACGGTGCATCGATCAGTCATGCGTATTATTGGACCACTGGCAGTAGTTGTCCTCACCATACGACAGCGGATTACATCCCGGAACTCGAAATGGTTGAAAATGCAGGACAACAACTCGGCAGGTAGGTCAACCAGAGTCCGATTCATGTTCATCGGGTTGTTGATGCACTCAGCTGCGGCAGATCTGTTTAGTTGACAATCAACGAGAAACAGCTACATACGTACAATGCCCTCTACGTGTTTGATTCCTTATACGGGTCCAAGGCGGTTGTGTTGACGACAATGACACGGTTTGAAGAGTGGATCGGATGTGGCGGTGTTCCGAGTCAACGTTCGACAATCTGCCTCATGAATAAGGCAATCCAGACGCCCGTCAGATATACGTTCGTCGTTCAACGCTATTCGACGCCAGACTCCAATCAGGATGACAGTCTCTGTGATAGCAATACGATCGAGGCGAGGCGGGAGCAGGTTCGGGGAGACGAAAGAAGTCGTTCGCGGGTGGAAGAGCTCTAACAATTCAGTGAGGAGATGCGTTGCGACCATGACGAGCATCACGGTGTACTACACGTCCAGGATTGTACTAGTAACGATGCACGGCTAATGCGGAGCAACAAATGCGAGATTTCAAGCGAGAACAAAGGTGTGTATAGGTAAGAACCTCCTAGAAGCCTCACGAGGACGTGGCGGTTTGTAACGAAATGCTCAGACGGTCTGCGATGTGTTACCCGCGTCTAACGTCCACGGAGTAGCAGCCAACGTGGGGAACCAGAGCATAGCATCATGTCCGACGCAGTAGAGCTCGAAAAACCAAGATACATATCAATGGCAACACCGCTTTACACGGGAACAAATAAGATGATAATGCGCGATCCGAGTAGACTGGTCACTGAAAGGTGGGGGAGAGCGAGATGAGAGTATGACAGAACCACGGTATATACGGAGATCCAGCATCCATATCCATGTTCATGGACTATGAACCATCTACAGAGACAGGGACGGCCTTCGTCGGAGGCAGCTGGGGCACCTTCTCAGATAGGGGCCCACTCGACATCCGGGCTGTGGGGGCGCCCGGCGGTGGCAAGGTTGCCGACAAGGGAGGGAGGAGCGTAGAGGGCGCAGGCGGTATCGTGCCACTCGTGGCACTCATGATCGGGGCAATGTTTCCACTCTCTGGTATGGGGAATCCACCCAACTTGGGGAGCGGAGCCCGGGTCAGCGGCGGGGAGGGCATCCTGGGCAACTTCGAGCCCGGGCTCCCCATCGCGCGCGGACTAAGGGGCAGCGAAGGAGGCGGGGAGAGCGGACCAGGACCGCCTATGGGGACACGCCCCTGCTGGTTCCCCCGCACAGGCGAGCGAAGCGGTCCGGAGAAAGGCGTCGCAGATGGGCTACCAGGCAGCGCGCGACCGTTCCGTGGGGGGGACCCGAACGGACTGTGATAGGCTGATGTCGAGGGTGGTTGGGGGAGTCGGGTCGTGGGCGGGCGTTGGGAAGTAGAGGAGCCAGGCATTGGCTCGGTTGGTCTATGAGATGCCGACAAGGGGCGAGCGTCCTCTGCGGCCAGAGACCACGACCCACGGCGCGAGGAAGGAATAGAGGGTGGCGGATTAGAAGGCCCCGCGCCTACCAGCGGGTTCCGCGGCGAGCCAGGTAAACTTCTTTGCAGTGTCTGTGAAGGACCCATAGTGAACGGTGTCATCAGGCGCTCATTCGGGCCAGGCTGTGGCGGACCCAACGGACCTGGTGCTCTTCCTCGCTCCCGTTCCCGTTCCCGCTCCCTGGGATGGTCGTTGCCTGGTGGCCCGGGCTCCTCGTTCCCTAGCCAGAAGGCAGACATCCCGGGGGACGCCGTCGGCTTCTGCGTCGCCGCCGACAGCTCAATGACCTCGGTAGGCGCACCCGAACGTGGACGGCGCTGATCGAACTCGCGCACGCTATGCGGACTGAGCGAGGGGTTGGCGGGTCCAGGATTCGAGCCGGATGGTAATGGTGCCATGGGCGGGGCATGCGCGTTGCCGCCCGGGCCATTGAACCCTTGCTGAGGAGGGTGATGGTGGTGGTGTACGTGATGGTGGTGATGCGGGTGGTTGTGCGGCCCATGATGATGGGCAGCCTGCCCTGGAGCCGCGCCATGCTGGTGTGTATGCGCACTATGTCGCGGTTGGGCGTGCGACATATGGTATGCGCGTTCCGCCTCCCTCTCCCGTTCACGATCCAGGTCGCGTTGTGCACGCTCGCGATCCGCTCGTTCCCTTTGTGCCATAACCTCTGCCATTCGCTCCCTCTCCCGGACATCGGCATCCCCGTTCATGCGCTTCGATTCCTTCGCGCTTGATTGTGGTCCTGACCACCCGTTTGGCTTCGGACCAGAGAAGCCAGGAGGCACAGGCCCGCCACCGAGTGTAGTGGGCACAGATGCGCTCGGACCTGCGCCGTTGCTCAACGGGACAGGCGAAATGGAGCGCCTCAAGAGAGCTCCGGGACCCGGGCCGGGGCCGAACTGAGTAGGATGCGGAGGCATGCCCGACGGCTGGCGCATACCAGCCTGCAGCTCCTGCTCAAGCTGCACCTGCTGGGCATGCGACAAGTGCGAGAGGGCACCGGGAGGAGCGGAGTGGTGGTGGGAGAGCCGAGGATGCGGGCCAAAATTCTGGACCATGCCCTGCTGTGGGATATGCGGCTGCTGAACGAAGCGGGCAGGTCCAGGTCCGTCAATGACGGGCATGCCCATCGCATAAGGTTCCATGCCATGGGGGATGCCACCACCAAGGACGGCATTCATCAATCCTGGCATGTGGCTGTGGGGGTTGTAGCCTATCGGTGCATTGCGTTGGTGCTGCCAGAACATTTCGAGGTCCTGGATGACTTCATGACGCGACAAAGGTTCAAGTGTAGGGTAAGCTAGAGGAACATGCGAAGACGGCTCCTTCTTCCGGGAACGCTTCCCCAGGGACGAAGCAGAGTCGGGGACACCAAACGGACTGTTCTTGACAATCTCGCGCAGGGTCGGAGCGGGGGGGACTTCGTGAAGTGGTATAGGGAAGCGACGAGCTGCGCATGACTTGTTACAGAGTTGACTGGGGGATGAAGGCGATGATACATACTTG